AGTTGTTTACATTTTGGCCATGTGAATAATACTTTTTAATAAAACAGCTGTTGATTTTAAAATTGTATTTCAAACAACACACATTTATTGGGAGTTAGTGAATTCCACCAAATAGGTATTTGCAATGTTATTTTATGATTTGACTTTCTTCTTTATCATGGCATGTTTTGCAATATAACTTTCCTTTACGAAATCTGTGGAAAATCCTTTTATCACAGCAATTCTTAAATTATTTATTATTGAACTATTTTATATCTATTGTACAGGTTGGTGTCTGCCTTTTTTTACCACTTTTGCCTACATTTTATCATATTATTCTACACACATCAAATATTTATGTAGAAATATCTGCTCTTATCATGCCTAATAAAATCCAAACATAGAAACTGTCTAAAATGGTACCCATCTTGACAAATTATTTGCACCTGCCTATATTACAGACTTTGGTGGTGCACTGGTTTGGTTTGGTAACATTATTGAAAATAACACGACATTTTGGCTGTAAAAGATGGTACAAAGAGAAAATACTTTTTAAGCAGCTACTGTCACGACAGAAAGGTCATATTCCTTTTAAACTAGATCACATCATCCTTTATAAGATACGTTGATTAACAATATGTAAACGTCAATATATTCAAATTTCAGCCAATTTACAGTATTTTTGTTTTTTGGAAATGTCCCTTTTGCATTATATGTTGCCTATGAAGCCGCACGACCATATAAACGAGGAGGCCCCTAACAGTACAAGAATAAAAGCCAACTTCACTTCAAGTATTCCACTACACCTAACATTCCGTAGAGAGATTATATTGACAAATTTATATTATTGATAAGGCTGAGACAACTAACTGACATCCCCCATGTCAAGAAATTCCAGCTTTAACAGTAACCCCACAATCAATAATTTCTCAAAACTAAGCTAAGGGTTCATTCATTGGCACAGAAGTACGATATGAACTGACGCGACGTGACGAAGGAAAAATCAAACTTACACTGTAACGGATATACTCCTTTGAAGTTAGAATATGTCTTCCCAAAAAAATATTTTCTTTTGAAATAAATCATTTTACACTAATGAAATCACGAAAGTGTTTAACTACAAAAGATCCATCAATACCATTTTAATACTATTTAAACGTACTTCCAAAGGAAGATATACCAAATAACATAGGCTACTAATAATAACTCCGATGACGTACGGTATGGGTAATATTTTATTCATTGAATGATCAACCAAATTTGGCAACTAACGCAATTAATATCATTATTCTTTTTACACTTATTACTCTTTAAACAATGTTAAATGCTCAAAATATGTATATTTCACCCAATTTATCGCAGTTAGATGAATTAACGTAAGCCTTGAAAGTAACCGTCGATTTCGACGGGTTTCACCTATTAGATTAAAACTGTTTTTTCCTACTTTTCATAATAAATTTAGGAAGTAATACACTTGATTTTTGAGTTGTTCTTTTGTCCCATTTTCAAATGCTATTTCTCGTAGTTCAGAATTAGAATGAACTCGTGTCGTACTTTCAGCTTCGTACACTAATCAGCTCTTACGAAAAGTTGCACCTAAAACAGTTTCACCGATATTTTAAGGCCAGTGAAAAATTACGTAATAATTTCTAGCATTTAATTAGATTTGCTATTTGATTACTAAGTAATAATACTGGTGTTAAACTCATTAAGGTAAAATAAAACCCACAAGCTATTAGGTAGAACAACATAAGCTGTCAAAGTTTCAGCCCTCAAGTCTACCACAAGTACCATAAACCCTGTAACGCATCTGCTGTTAACATAGTTACTTTAATGACTACATAAACTGGGAAATCTCCAGAACCGCTATGGAAGGGAGACAGTTTATAGATATTTGATTACATTGTAGCTCTTTGTGTAAACCCAGTTTATCTCTTTGATTTTTTAGAGAAAACTATTTTAGAATTACAAATAGTTTGTTGGTCAGCATTTAAAATAAGCCTACAGTTGCTACATGTATTTGTAAAATGAAAAACCACTTCAAAATCCTTGGGTTTATGAGACCTAAAGTAGTTGTGAACGTTGTGAAACTAAGAACACCGTTTCTAGAGTTGGCAATTCCCTAGAGAAGTAGTATGTCCCAGAAGAGTATAACATATTTTACTTTAAGAAATATTGCCAAACTCTTCTCATAAATTTAGTCAAATGGAAATTTTTATTTAATCCTATTATCGATGTAGTAGTAGTATCGATAGTATAGATTGGTTTGTTATTAAAGTTCAAGGTTGACAATCATGTAACTCCCCGAAAACTCGTATGATTATTTTTGAATCCCAATTTAGATATCCTTTCAATTACTGAAGTGTTATCAAAACGCTAAAATAAACTTGTACATACTATAAAGAATATTTAAAGACTTGTAAAGACGGACCGAGATTTTTTTGAGAACCTAAATAAGAATCGCCCTTTAACAAATAGACGCTAAAGTGACTGATGGAATTAGTTAATACAAATAATAAGGCTAAAATAATGTTTTGAACGGTGATTCAAATTGTCTATACACATAACTTCTAACAAACAAATTTTAGAATATTATCTCTATTGGTGAAATGTATTAGGCATTCAATATAGAAGTCAAATTTTTCTAATGTGCTCATAATGACGGTTTGTCCCAAAAATGTGTGATAGTGTCAATGAATGTTTAACTAGTTGGAACGAAACTTTGGTAGTCCGAAACTTTAACTCTGAAAATGTCGTTAGGGAGGAATAGTGCAACATCTGTTTTCTTCTTAAGCTAAAATTAATAACTCCGGTTTAATGATGGTGAAATAAATAACACTGTATTGCTGTTAAAAAATTAGTCAATATATTGTTTACAAATTATTGTTGTAATATAATTCTGAAGATAAAATATTTCAGTCGTGCACTTATAATAATATAATTTATTAAAATACCTTTTAGCCCATAAAGAATAGAAATATATGTTAATTTTAGCAATATTAAACACTTACAAATACATGTGTTCACTTTTTAAATATCACATTCCTTCAATCAAGCCATCTTACATAATATGTCTTCTGCAGTTTAGTGCAAAGTTAAGTATACATTACAGTCTCTGCGTTGTGTACAGCTGACGGTAAAGTGGCTCTCACGGGATTTGTGGTACATCTGGTGGAGTTTATGGTCTCAACTTGGACAGTTTAGGTGAAAGCTCTACGTAAAAGTAAAAACAATCTTATATATTAAAAAAATTTGGGTTTTCTTTTCCGAGTTCGTTTGGCTCTTCTACCCGACCGATTTTCATGATTGAGGTCTCAAATTGAAGGTATGCACGCACAGATTTGCCATCAAGCATCGGCATATAATTATCTATAGTATTAATCGGTTTATACGTAAACGAAATTTGCTCCCCATGTATTTCTTATGGGAGTTAAATTTGGGTTTTCTTTGCCGAGTTCGTTTGGCTCTTCTACCCGACCGATTTTCATGATTGAGGTCTCAAATTGAAGGTATGCACGCACAGATTTGCCATCAAGCTTTGGCATATATTTATCTATAATCCCACTCGGGTTATACGTAAACGAAATTTGCTCCCCATGTATTTCTTATGGGAGTTAAATTTGGCTTTTCTTTGCCGAGTTCGTTGAGCTCTTCTACCCGACCGATTTTCATGATTGAGGTCTTAAATTGAAGGTATGCACGCAGAGATTTGCCATCAAGCATCGGTATATATTTACCTATAATCCCACTCGGTGTATACGCAAATGAAATTTGCTCCCCATGTATTTCTTATGGGAGTTAAATTTGGCTTTTCTTTGCCGAGTTCGTTTGCCTCTTCTGCCAGACCGATTTTCATGATTGAGGTCTCAAATTGAAGGTATGCACGCAGAGATTTGCCATCAAGCATCGGTATATATTTACCTATAATCGAACTCGGTGTATACGCAAATGAAATTTGCTCTCCATGTATTTCTTATGGAAGTTAAATTTGGTTTTTCTTTGCCGAGTTCGTTTGGCTCTTCTACCCGACCGATTTTCATGATTGAGGTCTCAAATTGAAGGTATGCACGCACAGATTTGCCATCAAGCATCGGCATATAATTATCTATAGTATTAATCGTTTTATACGTAAACAAAATTTGCTCCCCATGTATTTCTTATGGGAGTTAAATTTGGTTTTTTCTTTTCTTCTTCGTCTCGAATTGAAGGTATGCACGCACAGATTTGCCACCAATCATCTACAAATATTTACCTACAGTATTACACGACCAGAACACATAATTTGATTTATTTTATAATTCTAACTTCAATTTAAGATGTACCTTTACCAGTTATAAATTTATAATCCTATATATTTTAGTCTAAGAACCTTTAGTTAAATACTGGCTTTCATTTAAGGTATTAGTTATTCAAATCGGACGAGTTTCAAGCAAACGCAAGGTGATTAACCAATATAAAAATTATTTTTCATAAGGTTTTAATATGGGTAAAAATCAATAGCTGCAGCATTGTTCATGTTTTTCTATATGTTTTAGACACAAACTAATCAGTAAATTATAGGATTTAATTTGAGATATTGATCGTTTGAATCAGTTAAGCTCAAGATACTGTATTACTCAATCAAAAATTATAAATTTGATTATTTCTCGGATATAATAATTATTTTAACGCTGCGGAGCAGCATGGGTCCTCTAGTTAACTCTTGAGTTTTAAACATTTATATATCATTTAATTACTTTATCATATCATTGAAAGTAAGTTATATTTTCTTCATAAGTACATTTTAAAGAAAAAAAATAACTAGTTCAGCTTTTTGATAATCCCAGTGGTTAGGATCCCACCTTGGATCCACCTATCCTGGAAACAAAATAACTCTACATCTCTCAGGGGAGCATAAATAACTGTAATGCGGTTAGTTGTAAAAGACCATTTGACCCTAAATTTGTCTCAAATAAACACGCTCTATGAAAGTATAGCTCTTTTAACAATTTATTGAATATTCATTACCTTGTTTGTTTCAGATGAAGATGCAGTAGCCGCCATGGGGACGTCTCTAGGTGAAGGGAGTCACAGGTTGAGGCATCACGGGAAACATCACTTGTGGAGGTCAACAGCGCTGTCACAAGTGATCAATGCCACGTCTCCGTCCTCGACGACCACCGTGGACCGTGCGTCCGTGTGTTACGACACCAACGAGGTAAACCATCCTTACACTTCGTACCAGTGAAGAGATTCATATAGGTATATATAATTGCCACGTCTCCGTCCTCGACGACCACCGTGGACCGAGCGTCCGTGTGTTACGACACCAACGAGGTAAACCGTCCTTACACTTCGTACCAGTGAAGAGATTCATATAGGTATATATAATTGCCACGTCTCCGTCCTCGACGACCACCTTGGACCGTGCGTCCGTGTGTTACGACACCAACGAGGTAAACCATCCTTACACTTCGTACCAGAGAAGAGATTCATATAGGTATATATAATTGCCACGTCTCCGTCCTCGACGACCACCGTGGACTGTGCGTCCGTGTGTTACGACACCAACGAGGTAAACTATCCTTACACTTCGTACCAGAGAAGAGGTTCATATATGAATGAACGCAGCTGTCTTTCTGTGGATATAATAAACTGTATTCGTTATCTAACAGTATACATATTATAGCCACAGTTTGATCAATTGTGAGATATTTTACATTATAGGTGCACGCATGTCTTACGATCAGTTTTGTTTGACAGGTTCACTACAAGGTGTCATACTACTCTGTATAAGTTGTCCACTGACACCTATTAGTAAATGTGTCAACTGATGTTATACATTATTACTGAACAAATTGATTTCATTTAGCCTGTACATTACTTGGTTCTCAGGTTCTGATGATCATCGGGATGACGTGTGTCCTCAACCTCGCCTTCATAGTGGTAGTGATGAGCTGCGTTCACTTCTGCAGCAGTCCCGCAGTGCCCAAGATACCCAGGTAGATATCTAAAGTCTAGAAGCTACACACATGTAAGGAGAAATCGATGTATGCTAATCAAACATTCTCCCTAAGGTATTCGATTTCGGTGGGTGATAATATATAAATAAGTCATACCTTAAAGCAAGATTTACGGGTACAGTTATAAAAAAAACTCCCATACATCTTCTTAAAAGGCCTGATTGCCTTTGATGATGCTGACTGATTCCACGAGTAAACTAGTCTGTACCAAATGCACCAGATAAGATAAATGAAACCTTAACAATTAATAGAATGATGTAGAATTTACCACAGTAAAAACAATTTAAAAACTTATTACATTACAAGCTTAGATTATCCATCTATATTATTGAATACTTTTTTGGGATTTGTCAATAATTTCAAAGATATTGACTGTAACCCAATCGAACCTAAACACAATACGTTTGCCGAACTTTCCGACACTTAAAGACGTCCACGTACGAGTACATAGAATCTTGCTTCCAGTAGCCAATTTTGAATTTCAAATGGCTTAGAAAACAGCCGAATAAGCGTTTAATTATGTCACTAGCACTAATAAATCAACGTGGTGCTGAGAAAGAACATATTTATATTCAATAAGTTTCCATGTTAAACATAATAATATGTTGAATCATAAGCATCATATCTACCATTTATTTTGAGAAACCATGCGTTGCTTATACGTTACAATTATCTATAGAGAAAACTATATGAAGTAAACAGATTTTTGTGAGAATGTTACTTTAGTAAATGAAGAAACAAAATTTGAAAAAGAAGAAGTGAAGCATATTCAATGTACCAATGTAATTATCTTTAGTCCCGCTAATATCACAGAATGTATACTATTCAGTTGATGATAAACTGTAAAGTGTTACTTGTTTTTATTATTTCAGACTGGAATCCTTGATTCTTGTAGAGAGTTCTACATCAGAAAGTGACTTGGAGGAGATAGACTTGCGAAATAGTCACACCAACTTGTTAAGCTCGACTCCAGACAGTAGACGTGGTAACCTAGACTACTACACCAGAGGGTTGCCTAAAACGCATCAGGTAAATAAGAAATATCCTAATAGGTGACGCCATATTTTTGGAAGATGAGGTATCAAATTATTTAGTTCCCTGTTAATTGCTAGACTTGATGGCAGTTTCTGATTAGTTTTAACGAGATATGTCCCCTGATGTAACTTTTGAATTAGTTATAGCTTCTAGTAATCATTAGTGTGTTGTGAATATTTTTTTTTTAAATTCTGGATCTTAATATAAAAAATTTATCTAGAAAGCAAAAACAATTTGTTATAAAATACCAAGTTTTAAGAACAACCACATATTTCTTAGTATCCTTAGTAAAATTAACATTGAGCTTCTTCAGTTTATTCCCCAGATAGCTAGATTCCATATAATTTTAACACTATTCCTTCTACAATATTTCGCACTAATTTCTCATTCGAAGAACAAATTGTTTTTCAGTCATTCTCATTCGGAGAAAAGTTATTTTTAATCCTCTATCTTGTGAGTATTGTTCAGACCTGATTCAGAGAGTTATCTATACAGCCATCTGTAAGATAAATAGGTATATACAAATACTATTTCTTTCACGTCTGCAGATGGAGTTGTCCAGTTCTACGTCATCGTCGATGGTATCTCTACAGACACTTGTGCCTCCTACCTTCTGTTCTACATCACTGACCAGCTTCGGTACAAGGTTTGTGCGATTTATAACGTTTTGACCATTAATAACGTTTTGTAAAGTTATATTACTGAGTAATCACTTTAAATACGACTGTTCAAAACGTAGAATCATTTACTGCAAAATATAATTGCCTCATGGTAATAAAACATGTTTTGAATTCATAATAGTTTTTTTTTTTTTTTTTTTTAGGGAGAGGAGGGAAAATGCTTTTACGCACACAGGTAGCCAGCCTGTAGTGTGAGACTCCTGAAATTATCAGACTACTCACTAAAAAACCCCCTCTACTCTGTTGGACACAGACCTGGATATGTTTGTCACATTACTTCAAGTCAGGCCAACATGTGACCTAAGCCCTCAGGGCTCGCACCGTTTCTGGCATTTTGATTCTTTATGACCTACACCGCATCCCGGTCAAGGTCGATCTTCTTGGCGCGGAGGATACCCTGGATATAATGTGACACACAGGTCCAATTGTCCTCACCCTCCGTCATAATCGGTATGACCGTGTCCACCGACAGCAGTCCTATTAACTGTTGAGCCTCCAGGCGGGGCCTTTCCCAGCGCTGGCAGTGGAAAAATGTATGTTCCACGTCATCGAGAATGCCTGGGCAGTATATGCAGTCGGGAGACACGGCTTTGCCCATCCTGAACAGGTACGACCGGAAAAAGCCGTGTCCCGTCAGAAATTGGGTGAGGTAAAAGTCCACCTCTCCGTACCGCCGATCAACCCAAGGTTGGACTTGCTGTATCAGTCGCCTGGTCCAGAGTCCCCGTGTCTCCTGTTCCTAGCCCTCCTGCCACAGCTGGTAGGTGCAGGTGCGTTCCTCTGTTCGTGCCTCGTCCTCCCCGCGGCGCCGGTAAATTGCCTTTCTCTCCGCCGCCAAAAGTTTGACGGGGATGACTCCAGCAATCACCAGGACGGCGGGCTCGGACACTGTTCGGTAGGCAGATGCTACCCTCAGTGCTGCCTGACGCTGCACTCGGGCGAGCCGCATCCTGTATGCCTCCTTATTTAGTGCGTCTGCCCACACCTACAAGAGTACGGACTGGACCGAAGACATTAACAGCCTTCTACGACTGGACCGAGGCCCTCCGACATTGGCCATCAACCGGCTATGAGAAGAAACCACCCTAGCGGCCTTGTCCGCTGTTCGGAAGATCTGATCCCGCCAGCTAAGCTTGCTGTCTACCATGACCCCAAGATACTTGGCAGAACGAACAGTTTGAACCTCGACGGCTCCCACCCTCAACGGCACGATGGTGTCAATCCGTTTTTTTGTCAAAATCACGATCTCGGTTTTGCTCAGAGCAAGTGAGAGACCGTGGTCTGCCATCCATGCGTTTATGGTACGCATAACTCGGTTTAGCTTTAGCTGAGCCAGCTCAACGCTACGTGCAGCTATCAAAGCTGCAACGTCGTCTGCGTACCCAACCAAGACCGTTTCCTCAGGCATTTCAGACCTCAGAAGGCTGTCATAAGCGACGTTCCAGAGGTCTGGGCCGAGTATGGAACCTTGGGCAGCACCAGAAGTGACACTCATCGTCCGCGGGCCCTCCGCAGTGTCATACGTGAGGAGGCGGAACCGGAGATAATCCTCTATGATGCGCATGAGGTATGCCGGCACGTGGAAGGTGTTCTCCAGAGCGTCCAGCATATCGCACCACCTCGCCGAATTAAATGCATTTCGCACATCGAGCGTTACGAGCAGCACAACCCTGCGAGAGTAGTGGTTAAAATCCTCAGCTCTCATCACTGCTTGCTTCACCTCCTCAATCACATCAATCGTTGATCGCCCCGTCCTGAATCCATACTGACGAGGGGAGAGGTCCCCCGCAGCGACAACGGCTGAATTCAGCCGGGAACGGATCAATTTCTCGAGGACTTTGCCAGCCGTATCCAACATACACAGAGGTCTGTAAGAGGATGGCAGATCTGGGTCTCCCTTGCCCTTCCCAACAAGCACAAGCCTAGCTGTCTTCCAGCACAAGGGGAAAACCCCTTCGACCAGGCAGGCGTTGTACATGCTCAAAAGGATCAAGGGGTTGGTAGTCAAAACCTTCTTGAGGACTTCACCGGGTACCCCATCAGGACCAGGAGCCTTGTTGTTCTTCAGGGATATGACGGCCGCCACCAGCTCTTCAGGGCTGAAAAGTGGGACGTCGTCCACCCTTCCGAAATCCCGCAGTGGTCGCAACGCGTGAGCCGGGAAAAGGGGCTCGACTATCCTCTCCATAATGACCCTGTCCATAACGGAAGGTGGAGAGCGGGTTCCAAGTTTCTTGGTTACAAGTTTGTAGCCCAGGCCCCACGGGTTGGAATCAACATCGTCCCTTAATTTATCCCAGCAACTGCGTTTACTCCGATTGATGGCTCGACGAAGATACCTCCTAGCCGCCCTATAAGCATCCGACTTACGCCGTCTGTTTAGGGGTTCTCTAGCCCTGGTAGCAAGTCTTCTGGCTCTCAATGCTGCTCGTCGCAATTCCGCAATCTCGGCAGTCCACCAGTACACAGGACGCTTATTGCACCGGTATCTCCTGCGAGGCATAGATTCATCGCAGGCCGAGACAATCAGTTCCATCGTGGATGCAACTAACGCCTCTGCGTGAGGCACGCCAGTTGCGGGATGAATATCCGGCGTTCTTCGTAGGATGGCTCCATTGAATTTTGCCACGTCCAGTTTTTTAATGTTCCATCGAACGGGCACTTGATGAAACGCTGCCACTTGTCTCTGATGACCATCCAGGACGTCAAAAATTATGTACTGGTGGTCACTGCCCGTGTAATCCTCCAGGACTCTCCAGGATCTGATCCTTGGCAAAAGGGACTCAGATGCAAGGGTAATGTCTGGGATCGTCCCCCGCATCCCAGGGCGGCGGAAAGTTGGCGTGTTGCCCTCATTCAGTACAACGAGTCCGGCTCTGGCAGCAAAGTCCAGAATATACTTGCCCCGGGAGTTGGTGAGGGTCATTCCCCACTCGACAGCCCTAGCATTAAAATCCCCACCCACGACGACGTGTCCGGTGGTATCGCGCACGCTCTCTTCTAGGCGGTCTATCTTCTCACGAAAGTCACGGATGGCCTCGTTGGGAGTGAGGTAGACACTGAAGTAAGTGACATCCCTGCACCGAACCCAAACGAAACCTCGGCCATTCGCGTGACCCCGCACTTGTACTTTAGCTGCATTACGAGCCCAGAATGCAGCAGTACCAAGACTATCAGGGAACCATAAAGATGGGTCCCTATCTCGATACTGGTACTGTTCGCTGATTAAGAGAGCGTCGACATCGTGTTCGAGGGCAAACTGACAAAGAAGTGCGTCAGCCGTCCTGGATCGCTCCAGATTGCACTGAAGGATTCTTATCTTCGTGGGAGAGATTTCGCTTGCTGTAGAGCAGTTTTAAATACACTACACTGCCCAGACCCAGCTATATGCTTTACGTGTTTGTCAGCGAGCCCATTTTCTTTGCAAAGGAAACAGGACTCGACTTTGCAGTCCTTACGGATGTGACCAACCTCCCCGCACCGAAGGCAGTTCTTGCTTCGGTCGGGTCCCTTGCAGTTTCGGGAGGAATGGCCGAAACAGAGGCATTTAAAACACCTCTTCACTTCCACTCTCCATCTGAGCCTGCAGTTGACCCAGCCGACTCTCAGATGCTGGAGTGCCAGCACCCTAGTGGCAAGCGCGTCTGCCATTTCGGCGATTGCCATCCGCTGCTGACTCCTATTGGGTTTTGTGAGCCAAACCCTTAGGATGGCCGTTTGCCCGGCAAGCTCGGGTACAGCTTTCTTCAGGGCCTCAACAACGTCACTCTCCGTCGACACACAATCAATGTCTCGAACCTCAATTGATGTCTTGGGCTCAAGAGCACGGACGGTGCCCTGGCCTTCAACAGCTGCCTTCAGTTCGGCAGTAAAAGCAGCCTTGTTTTTCGACTTACCCAGTTCAAGGAGAACGTCCCCTTCCCGGGTTTGTCTAATCGACCGTACAACCGTATCGGTCTGCTCCGGTTTAGCTTTGGCCTTTATTACGCCCAAGACCTCGGCAAAAGATCTCCCCCCTGAGGGTTTGACAAGGATTGCCTCCGTCCTGGGCTTTATGGGCCGCGACCTTTTCGGAGCAGGGACCGAGCCGGGCCCAGTTTGGGCCACGCCGGTTGGAAATGCCTTCACTGCCTCATTCTTCATGGAGGCGACCTCCGCCCGCCTCAATTGCCTCTTCTCCTTTTTGGAAAGGTGTTTTTCCCACACAGCCTCAGGTGTCTCCACCACTGACCCCTTTCGGGAACTTCCCTGAAGGGGGGTCGTGGGTTGCTGTGCCTGTCGGCGCCTCGCTGGAGCTGCAGCTACGTCCGAAAAGGATCTGGACACAGCAGACGAGAGGTCCGTCTGAGTCGCCTTGGCCTTAACCGTGGTCTTTTTGGTCTGGACGCCTTCTTCTCTTTTTGGAGGACTCTCCGATGTGGAAGGCCTCCGACGTTTCTTAGAGGGCAGCGCTCTTTCATCGGGCAGGGACACCACCTTTTCGGCAATCTTTTCCATGGTCGCCTTGCTTACCAGACGGCAGGCAAAGACAAAGCCAAGGTCATCCTCTAGTTTGGCCATTCCATTTTTGACCACTTGATTTACGGCTCTCTGGGTCCGGAAGGTGTCCAGCATAGCCTTAATGGTCTTTTCCATGTCACGGAGCCGGGTTTCAATGTTACTATCTGCGTCAAGATATTCCTGACGCAGAAGCACAATCTCAGAGCTTTCCGACCGCGACGTCGCTGTGAGGGTTTCCTTCGGCATCCCTACAGCATCTACATCGCCAACATTTTCTGCACCGTTCCCAGCTCCACTTCCCGAAGGAGATCCTAACGGGGGAATCGTAGAGCACTTGAAAGGTGCAGGTGGCGGAGATGTCCTCACGTTTTTCGGTGGTGGCGACCTCTTAAGTTTGGAGCTTCGGACAAAAGGGCTCTGCTCCACTTCAAACGAATTTACTTGCTCATTTGAGCTCCTCTTCAATGATGTGTTTGGGGTATTTTTATCAAAACTCATCGTGTTTTCTCCAGCGCATCGTGCGGCAAGGAGCGGCCCGGAATCAGTCAGGAACGGGTATACCCTCGGGGACAAAAATTCATAATAGTAGTCCTAGCCGAATTGTAAACAGTATGTGAAGTAGAGGTGCCACAGTTAAATCTAAGCATTCGTGAACTGGATTTAGGCCTAATAGCTATTGATAATTATCGTTTACATAATTACTTTAACATGTTTAGCTTATAGATCACGTATTTTACAAATAAAAGGTTAAATACCTGTAGTACTGTCAGTAATCCGGGTTTAGGTCAGCTGTACAGTAAACTATGTAGATAGATGCTTATTAAAATAAACATTTTATGTAAATAAAGTTACTATTTAAAATTGGATAAATTAATTATATTAATTTTTAAATCAATTGCTTTCATGCTGCTAAACATATGTTTTGTATCTTCCAGATTGAACAGCAGACACAGAATTGATCATCCTGTCTCATCACTCTCGATGGAAAATCTTCTCTTCGTATAAACAAAAAATATATGCCAACTGCTACAGGGTTATGGATATATAGAAACTACAAGATTTTTTGTAGCAAATAGATACAAATAAAAATACAAGACTGAGGATGGTAAAAATATTATCTTACCACGCGGAAAATTTATTGACAACCAAAAATAAACACCAAAATATGGAACAAAATCTATTGAAGTTTGAACAAACAAGACGCATTATTTAAAAAATATATATTTTACTAGTGTATAGCCACCATGAAAAATTACCTGATAATAAAAAAACTTAGCACAAAGCAAACTCAAAATAAAACAAAATATTTGGAAAAATCTTATATACAAAACCGACAGAAAATTAACGTATTATCCACCCTAAGGTCAGGGCACCAATATGATTAATTTCGTATTAAAAATATCATATTCAGAGTTTATTGTACCTCTACTGGTTCAGAGAATAAATTTTTTTTGAAATAATAAATCAGATTGAAACGTTCTAATGTAATTTTCGGTATTTATAATTTTATCATCGAATTATTTTATACCTAACTAGCAGAGTACCCGTCCTTCGTACGGGATTGGCATATAAGTATCAAATGCTTATAGCAGTTATGAGTGAGGACATGGTTTAAGAAATTTCGGTTCTTTTTGAAGTTCGTTCGCTACGCTCACTCACCTTTAGGTTGGAGCTCGTTCGCTGCGCTCACTTTCCTTCAGGTTAGCTCGTTCGCTACGCTCACTTGCCTAAGGAACCATAAAACAAAATAGTGGATACATTTTGTTGTAAAATATCAAGCTGGATAAACTTTTTCTTTAGTTGCACAAATATCAACAACACAAAGGTTGTTCCTTAAAATGTCATGTTTCAGATCTAGTTTGAAAGTTACTGAAAAAACGTGACTAATAATGATGACGACTCCCATAGTGAAAACCGCATTTATTATAAAATATCGAAACGTAACGAACTTAGTCGGATTCGAATGCATTTATCTTCTTAGCTATATAAAGGATATACTTTCTACTATTTAACTGTAATGTATACATTTATAAAACGATAATAAGCCTATCTTTTTTAATGTAATGTGTACAGTGTTTTCGATTAATAGTTTATATTGAATATATTTGGGTTATCTAGAAGAATGAATATTTATCCATAGCAGCTCAGAATTTAATTTGAGAAGAAATATTTGATGTTGCATTCTCTTGTGGTTTATATCTATGACAAAAATAAAAGCACAACAATTGATCTTTTAAGTAAATAATTGTTACCTCAAAACATGTCTTTTAACTACACTACTTTGAATGAACTACTTTAAATGATAATTAATTGATCTTTTTATCTTATCTTATTTTCTGTTAACCTAAACCTATAGAATAGAATAGAATATATATTTATTTTCTCAAAGAACTTACAATACATTGTACATCTTTCACAATTATTGTACATTAATTTTCACTTGGAGTAAAACAAAAAAACAACTTGGTTATAATAAAAATAGACTTGAAATGAAATAAAAAGTCCGTTGTTCTCACCAGGCTGACAAAGGACAAGTTACAGTAATCTGAAGCACAAAAACAACCATACTGTATGTACAATAAAAGTGACCTTTAAAATTTGAATTTGAGAAAATAATTAGGGCCTCATTAGGCAAAGCCTGTGGTTGAGGTTCCTTTACTTGCAAACTTTAATGTATACACAGAGCGATCAGATAGATATAAAAACAATACTAGTAAAAAACACAAAGGTCTCATTCGAAATCTTAACCTAAAAACAATAAATGAGAAAGACAAATGATTATTCAAAACACCTGCCACATATGTTTGATTCTTATCTATCGTGTTTGTTATCTCTGGTTTGATAACTCGAAACCACGCACTGCACTAGTGCCACCAGGCGGCTGATAGCCCCAACCCAAGGGCCGTCATAGCACATTACATACAATGTATAGACCCTGAGTGGCATAGCCCGCCAAAGTGCGTCCTTAACTGCTAAAAATACAAAATAAGATTCTCATTTAAGATTCTAATTTAATAATATAAATAATTCATCAATATCTTCCAATTGTGAAAGCCATTTCTTTACCTTATTTAAAAACACTTTTTTGTTGTTTATTAACATTTGTACATTTTCAGGGAGTTTCTTAAACAATTTTAGCACTATAAAACCAAATGTTTTTGTAAAAAAGGTGTTGTTGGGCTTGGAAACTAAAAACTGGTTAGGATTTCTAAGCTTAAGTATATATTCATTTTCATTCCTGGGTATTTTTTTGTAAACTGAACAAAAGAGATTCAAAGCTTTAAAAACATACAAATATTTTAAAGGAAAGATTTTGTGCTGAATGAAAAGAGGTTTTGAAGGTTCAAATCTATTTTTATATGAAATTAATCTCAAAGCATGTTTCTGTTGAATAAATAATGGTTTTGTATAAGAGTCATAAGTATTACCCCAGAAAACCAAGCCGTATTCTAGCCTACTTTGAATCAAAGCAAAATATAACATACGCAAAATTTGAGTATTACTTAGATTTCTTAAAAAATAAAAATATCTTATTGAATTGTTGACTTTGTCTTTGAGCTTTTTGATATGAATTTTCCAGCAAAGTTCTGCATCTACATGAAGTCCCAAATACTTAATACTATCAGTCTGATCTACAGTAGCACAGTTTAACATGCAGGTTGTCTGTCTACTCAAGCAAAGTGTACATTTAAATGTAATAGGATCTGTAAAATTAAGGGTTTTATGAGGCTAAAATTAATGTATTTGGTTTTCTCAGCACTCAGTAAAAGACGATTGACAGTGAACCACCATTTCAGTGCCTCAAGGTCTCCATTCATCGCATGTTGAACTGACTGCCAATCGCGTTCAGAGTAACATAAAGCTGTATCATCAGCAAAAGAGGTTAGCTTACCATTAAATTTACCTTCACAAAGATCATTAATAAATATAATAAATAATGTTGCCCCTAATACAGATCCTTGAGGCACCCCACTCTTAATAGTTCCCATTTCACTAAGAATAGAATTAATTCGAACACATTGTTTCCTGTCAGAAAGATAACTTTTAAACCACTCATGGGAAACACCTCTAACACCAATATTAAACAGCTTGTCCAGCAGAATGGTGTGGTCAACTGTGTCAAACGCTTTTTTTATGTCGAGGAAAAGCCCACTCACTTTTTTCCCCTCATTTACACCTTCATTAACATTTGTCATAAAATTTAGCAAAGCATGTTCAGTGTTCATAGCAGCTCTAAATCCAAATTGATTTCCACTAAAAAAATTTGTTTTATCTAAAAATACTAATAATTTGTTCTTCATAACTTTTTCATATATCTTTGAGAAACATGACAACAAAGATATCGGACGATAGTTACTACATTTCGACTTTGATCCACTCTTAAAAATTGGTATTATTACTGCATTTTTTAAATTTGTTGGAAAAACTCCAGTTGTTAAACTAAAATTAATGACAAATAAAAGAACATTAGTAATTTCCGGAAAAATTTCCTTTATCAAGCTTGCATTTATGCCATCAATTCCAGGAGATGTATTATTTTTTAATGTGTTAATTACAGCTAAAAGATCTGCAGGGAAAACAGGGTCAATGAACATTGTTTTGACTTGAAAAGAACTGGGGAACTTGTTTCTATAGTCTAATAAACGTAGATCAACCTGAGATGTATGATCGTTCATTTTCAGATTTTCAACAATTTCTAAAAAATAGTTATTAAATTCATTCGCAACTGCCAATGAATCATCAGTCAGTACACCATTTATTTCTAATCTAAGAGCGTCATCTTTTTTCTTTGACTGACCTGTTAACTCATTTACTATTTTCCACGTTTCCCTCGAATTACCACTGCATTTTTCAAACCTTTTTTTGTAGTAATCCTCTTTTAAATTCCTTATTTTATTTTGAAGAGAATTCCTATATTTTTTGTAAAAACACCTCGAGAGCCGCCGCAAACAAATTCTCGAACATTCTTCAAAGTAAGTGTAAATATATAGAAGAGTTAGTTACTTGTAACCAACTACTTAGTTATAAGCTAGACATTTAGGTAATGTAAGATCTTCAATGCAATAATACCTTTGTAGTAATCCCATTATAGTAATCTAAAATAAACACATTTCGTAAAACATATGTTTGGTATATTTAGGTAGTGAAAGATATTTTTGTACAATACTCTATGACATGTATATGTTTTGTAAATAAACTATATTGTTACAACTAAATTGTTAAATTACTCTAACCTCAAATTGACGCAATTTTTACGTAGAGTAGATTGTTGATTTGTGTTTTTGGGTGCTAACCATTGTTAACGAAACTGATTCGTTTCTCGTTTTGAAAACTAATTTATTTATAACCCTCTAACAGTTTACTGATTAACCTTTGAAATAACAAATATTATCATACTATTTGGTTTAGTAGCCCTTTAAGTTTAGCAATAATCAATACTATCTTCAATTCAAATTGCTAATATTATTGTCGTTACGTATTAAACACCAAATAACATTTCTTTACATTTTCTGTTGATTATTTGTTGATAGGTTGTTGCACAAAACCTTTTTACATTCATTTTTACGTATCGATCACATTTAAAAGGGATATATTTCAACGAATGTTCCAATAATTAAATATGTTTTTTTAACCACGCTTTTAGACATATGTAATTAAACAGATGCCCATTCACTATGGCCATTCATCAAGTAGAATGCATAAATACAGCAATAAATTTACTCCGCGCCAACCTAGAAACTTTACACAGTGTAATAATTGTATTCGGCTAAACTCGAGTGTCGAATCAGAAACAGAGTTATGCCGACTCAAATCATATTACATTTGGCTCTGAGCTACGTTAATATTAGACTTTTGCAGCGATTAGAGGTAACTCGGAATTAATAACTCACAAGCCTACGATAACCCGACCAGCTTAGGAGACCAGAAGGGATGAAAACCAAAGTCTTATACAAATAGCCTACTCAAAATAAATCTTGGTGTTCATATTCATAGTTGTACTCTTTGTTAGGTTTTTAGTTCCAACTGTAAGTAATTAATCACAAAACGTTTAAGATGATTGTAACAATTAATTGAGCCACTGATCTTGCTGCTGTGCTTGTGTTTTTTATAGCTTTTTGTTGGAATTACAGTGTTGTTGATTATGTTTATTTTTTTTTTAAC